CGGATTTGAACAACCTGCCTCAGTGGGTGGATACCTGGGCTATTCCAATCAACACAGTAAAGTGTGCTCATCTGCACTTGGGGTGTGTTGACTCAGAGGTAGTCTACAACTTCCAGGGAACCTTATGGCGCAGAACATCGTGCGAACGAGACCTGGGTGTTATGGTTACGTCATCACTAAAGACCCGAGAAAACATCGATCGGGTCCGTGCTAGCGCATGGAGCATTCTGAGGCCTATTCGGCGATCTTTCAACCAGCTCAGGATGGACGCTTTCAGACTGCTGCACGCTTCCCATGTCAGACCAAGACTTGAGTACGGTGATGCGGCGACAGACCCCTGCACGGCCGGTGAACTGGACAAGTTGGAGCGTGTACAACGTGCTGCCACTAGACTCGTTGTTGGACTACGCGGGACCAGCTATGAAGGTCGTCTACAGGCTACTGATCTGTTCCCAATTGCGTATTGACGCCTCAGGGGAGATCTCATCTGCCTGAGGAAGATCCTGAGAGGTGATATGGGCCCGGAGCTGCAACAGTACTTCCCTTTATCGACAGAGGACCGCACGTTGGGGGCACTCTCTCATGTTGCACAAACTTCAGTCAGTTGGTCTTCCGTTAGTCTACCGACTCTCGCGTAAGTCAATAACACTCTGGAATTCCCTTCCAGCGATTGTGGTGGAAGAGAAGACAGACGCTGCTTTCAAATGGCGTCTGGATGAGCACCTGAAGGGGTTATGGAGGNATGGTCGACCTGGACTGTCTAGGAACTAATGCCTAGCTCATTCCACATTGCACAGCGAGAAAGCGCATCCAGTAGCAATCTGTCTTACCGCAGAGCAAATAGTAGAGCATTAAAAGGATCCGAAACCTTGAATATGAAAAATCGAGCATTGACCGGTAAACTTGCCCAGCGCGTACAGTAGTATTATCCATTGAAAGCTCACAATGCGGTAACCATGACCGTAGACATGATACTGGACTAATTGCTCCCGATCTTTCCGAGTCAAGTCAAGAAGTTGGTATTTCCATCCCCCATTTTAACATCAAGTGCAGCATCAACCGAGAAAGCAAAGCAGGAACTATTGGTTCATGAAGGATCGAATTTTAGTCAGTGAAGTGCGCTCACTGGTTTGACGTTTAGTGAGGCTGCTGCATCAAATACGCCGCTAAATAAGGAATGAAAAAGAAGTCTTTTTCCTTCGTTTTTTTATTAATTGAATGTACAAATATACAGTAAACATCCAGGAAGGGTGCTGCAGCCGTACAAAAGCTGCCTGGGGAAATACAGAAATAGATTAAAGATAAGCGGTTGTTTGGGGAGGGGAAGGGGTAAACGCGTACGCCTGTTCCGTATTGTTTCAGTGGTCAGACGTTTGCTTAATGCGGGATTCAGTAAGTGAATACTGTCGTATGAAATAATGTGACAGAAATTGTTTTAAGAATTGAACGGTTTTGTCCAACTAAACATAACCGAATCGGGATGTGAGATTCTCTCTCAGTATGAGAATAATAAATAAGACTATTAGATAAAGTAAAAATAGGGTAATTTACCTCGCGACCGCAGAGAGGTCCCGATCAACAATAAGAAAATTAAGGCAGTTGTGTTTTACGTATGCTAAGCGTTCATCCTTAGTAGGTAGGAATAAGATTTCGCTACATCTAGAAGCATTAATGGAATAACGAGAAGGAAAGCGACCAGTACGAAACGGGGGATATACATATAAGAAAAATTGAAGATCGGTAAATCGGAAATGTTTTCGGACTTAAAATCAACTGGGACTTCATTGACAGGGTAGAGCATGAAGTCATCTACAATGTTTGATGGATCCCAAAAGGAGAGATAAAATGGTCGGCTGCAACACCTCATAATTGACGCGAAGGGGTCCGGATGGATAACCGCAGTCGACAAATGGTGAAACAATCAGTGTTACGTAGGGATAAATGCAATTTTCACTTATCATTGGCGAGTGGTTGATGAATACCGTACATCGGTTGCAGGAGTCGACGCTTGAATCAGAGAGTTCGTGCGTATCATCCGGCTTGTTTGCGCACTGGGGTGGAAAAGTCAACTAAAAGCGCGATCCGTTCACATGTTGTCCAGTCACTTAGTTGGTGGTAGCGCAGTGGTTTAGTCGCTGTCACCGGCGTGCTTTGGACCCCATGGTCTGAGGTTCGAGCCCCGCCACCACAACCGAACTTGGGTGACAGGCAGCCGTGCTTTCGTCCGGTTCAATTTTACGCCTGACGAAGCGGGGTCTTATGTGGTTCGCCACTCCAAGTCCCGGGACTTCGGTTACCGGTCTCCATCAATGAACACCAAGTCCTCGTGACTATGAGGCTTCCCCCGTCTGCTGTTCATTACCCGATAGTGTGTAATAAAAATGTAAACTTAACTTTACTCCTTCCAAGTTTGTGAAGAACAATCTAAACGGATTTAATGTCGTATCCTACTCACAGTGAAAGCACTGGGAATTCGAATTCACAATTCCTCCTAAGTGTACAAAAACCATTTATCGGGTCTTTGTGTCTCTCATAGCCCTTCACTCAACCATTCCAATCTTCGGCAAACCGGACTAGATACCATGATAGACACAGTGCATTTTGCGCAAATGGGTGTTTGGCAGATTTGAAAATTGTATAGCCATTGCGAAAAGTTCAGTAGCCTCGGTAGGGATCGAACTCATTCATGGACGCCGCCTACGCTTTGTACGCGCGCGCTCTACCAGATG